GTCTATCACAGCAGCAGTGATGGTCATGCCAATTTCACAGTGTGATTTGTGCACTCATTTCATTTTGAAAATGACCCTGCCCTCCATCTGTCTAAGCCGAATGTCCTCCTTTTTTCAAGCCAGGCCTCGGGAACAGCAGCACATGAAATAAGGGGGAAGACACAGAGCGGCCTCCCTCCTGCCCTCGTCAGCTGCCACACTCACAGACAGGTACTAACACAAACAGGGGACCCCAACTGATGCCTGAAGGGATCCAAGAAATTTGGAGGAGAGCAGATAGTCCTTCTATTTTTCATACATTTTTTCAAGAAACCATTTGCAGGTGAACGCTTTCATGATACAAATATAACTCTGAAAGAAAAACTGACAGACGAAAGATAAAAAGGTAACTTCCCATTTCTAAGTTCTGTTGTCTTATCTTGATTTAACAGTAACTTACCCAAAGTAACGGTTCATACATAAGGGTCTTTAAATACTGAGCCTGAGTTTCCAAGGGACAAATGTAGTCAGGCAGCCATAAGGGTGAAAATCCTCCCACACCCAACCCTCAATTACTGAGCAGCACTAACCAACCTCTGTCAACCCACATACCTGCTGAGTTGAAGGCCCTAAAAGGGTGCACCAAGACATTGGGTTGAAGAAGTGTTAGAGGAGAATTAGAGTGATCCTCATTGGCTATGTTCTCAGGGTATCTTAGGTGGACCAGAGGCCCACTCAACACTCTGAAATGTGCGCAGTTTGTTCCTTTCTTGCTATTCATGTAGTGGCAAGTTCCTCTTCTGGTCCCACTCGGAAGTTCACAGCGCTGCCAATTTTTCAGCAAGAGAGAAGACTGAATGAGTACATAAAGTCAGTTGTTTTCTGCTATGAACAATCACACACCTACAGAAGTCTCCGCCTAGATCTATCAGACGACTAGATGCTATACCACCCCCACTAATTACTTCCTAACATCTGCTCACAGCTAAAATTTAGATCTGGAAGTTCAAATTTCTACTGACCACACCAAGTTGGTTGGTTGGTTGGTTGAATGGAGAAAGGAAACTAATCTTCCATTATACAACTTGGCCCCAAACACTAGGCTCTTAGAAACTCATCTATAGGGGCGCCTGGGTGGCGCAGTCGGTTAAGCGTCCGACTTCAGCCAGGTCACGATCTCGCGCTCCGTGAGTTCGAGCCCCGCGTCGGGCTCTGGGCTGATGGCTCAGAGCCTGGAGCCTGTTTCCGATTCTGTGTCTCCCTCTCTCTCTCTGCCCCTCCCCCGTTCATGCTCTGTCTCTCTCTGTCCCAAAAATAAAATAAAAACGTTGAAACTCATCTATAAGGGATATATGGAATGAGTTATTTATCAGTCGCTATTTCCTACTGAAAATAGATGTTGGATATCCTGGCACAGCTGCTAACTACCTAGCTCTGTGGTCTTAGGCAAATAACATAAAACTTTCCAGTACGCAAAACTTACCTTACATGTAATACATAGAATATAGGGGTGGTTATTAAGATTAGAAAAAATGTGCATAAATGGTCTAATATGGCATACAATATCGCTGGTGTTGGGTCTAAAATTTATATATAGAAAAGATGCATGGCCAGCAAAAGTATAAAGGAGGGTGATAAAGGACTTGCATGGAAGTCTTTAAGTATATAGCAAAGATATGCTTTTGACAGTTTATCTTAAGGACTAGGCAGGCCAATGCAAATGGTAGAAGAGGAGTGGAAGGGCGTCTGAGTGGCTGAGTCAGTTAAGTGTCCGACTTGAGCTCAGGGTGTGTTTGAGCCCCACATCTGCTCTGTGCTGACATCTCAGAGCCTGGAGGCTGCTTCGGATTCTGTGTCTCCCTCTCTATCTGCTCCTCCCCCACTCATGCTCTCTCGCTCTAAAAAAAAATAAACATTAAAAAAAGAAGACGACCAATGGAGATCTAGGCAGATCAAGAAAGAATGGTCTCTTCTTTGTACTGAAAGTTAGAGGACCAGGGCAGGAGTCCCAGTTTAAATGCCACCATCTATTCAGTAATAATTGTTCATGAAAAGAGAGGATTGGAGACCCTTGGATCTAAAACTGAGGATCTCAAAAAAAAAAAAAAATTAAATTAAATCTAGCAAATGAAAAATAAATAAACAAAAATAAAATTGAGGATCTCACAGTACCATTTATGATTCACAAAACCTATGCTACACCACCTGTGGAAACGACAAAAATAGACTTTTGGTTTCTTCATATTACTTCCTAGAAATATGCCCTCAGGGCGGCTTCAAAAAAGAACCTACTCTAATTTCAGGGCACTACCAAGGATTCAGTCCACCTTTTCCTTCCTACTAATTTACAAGCACAAAACAGGAACCGACACTGTTTGTATATACTGCACCGTAAACAGCTAAGACAAGCATGGGATTTCAGACGATAAACTTTCCTCTCCCGAGTCAGACACCGAAACGATGCAAACGACACCAAGCAAACCCCACTAACATACAAACAACAGGGCTGTGAAACTCCCTCTCCCAATGCTTATGAATCGGTCTCGCGAGACTAAACTCCCAGCAGGCAGAGCGGGCACGTTCCCGACTGCGGCGCGACTGCAGTGGTGCATGCCGGGAAGTGGAGTTTTCGTATCTCAACTGCATCGAAGCGTTTGTTTGGTCTTGCAGGACTCCCGGTCTTAGAAGCCTAAAGTATTCAAGAACGAAATTAGTAACGGGAATTTCAGTGATGACTTTTTATTCCCATTGAGCTTATTCCATTACAAAGTAATCCCAGAACGAGCAGCTTTCCGTTTCCGGTGGGCTTGTTGCCGTGGTAACCAGCACGCACCACCAGCTTGGCGGTTATGGCCGAGCTGAGCGGCGCGCAGATCCCCGATGGGGAGTTCACTGCCGTCG